ACCCCCGTACCTATAGTACTGGGAGAGGTGAGATTTGAACACAGAACCATAGATGTGTGAACACTCTTAACTATTTGAGCTACATGCTTCTTGCAGTTTTTAAGATCTTTAGTCTAAGTCCAAGCAGCTATTTTATTAGTTGTGGAATTTCACACGAAATTTGTACTTGTAATATAGATTTTAACTGATAAGATACTGTCTTTCCTTTTGTATAATGGAATTTTACTTGTTATAAATTATACCGGATTATGCAGGCTTAAGCAGTAATTTCCGTTTTCAAAATTACAGTTTGCACCTGGGCTTAATTTGAAATTAATTGAATTCAAACTTACCCAAACATGGTTTGGATAGGCAAAACTATAAGACATACCTATGGATTGGGCCCTTCACCATTTACAACTTGTTTTCAGTTCAACTTTGTGGGGTGTCCACTGATCGAATTGGAGCCAAGTGACTACCGTTTTTTAGTGTGAGAGGTTACGAGGGGTTTGTGCTCAATGTTCATTTATTTTATTTTTCTTCACCTCTTATTTGGTAGGACAGCTTGAACCATAGCATTTCAATTAAAATGGACAAGTGTTATGACCTGGTTGATGCATCGGTAAAGATTATCCCAAAAACATGTTACTAAAGACATAGGTCTCAGGATGCGATCATACCAACTTACATGCATCGTATTTCATCAAAACATGCATCATATTTCATCAAAACTCCGAAGTTAAGCAAGTTTGACCAAGAGTAATATTAGGATGGGTGACCTCTTGAAATGTTCTCGAGTTACATCCCCCACTTCTTTTCTTCACCAAAAATAATCACTGATCATATCGAGTTGGAGCCAAAAAAAATTAATGTATTTAGGAAGGGAAGTGTTATTGGTACTTCAAAAATTTCATTCTACACTCCTCACAAATGTATTTTTTCTTTCTAAATATAAAAAGTTTAGAATGTAGAATAAAAAATTTGAATTGTCAATAACAATTCTTATTTAGAAATTGAGTTTGTGGCTAGTTAATGCTGGTGCCAAACTCGCAATACTTGTGAGACATATCATATCATATCACTCGTTTCATTAGTCATAATTCAACTGCGACATCCATTTGCCCGCTTGCTTCAACTTATAGGCCCAAAGTCTTAAGTTTGATTGATTTATGCTTTGAAGTTTGATGGAATATTTGAATGTAGGGTTAATCTCAATTTACTACTTTTAAGTTTATCAATTTTTAATATTTGGTACATGAAATCTTTTTAATCCCAGAATGGTACTTAAAATCAAAATTTTGAGACAGTTTCATACTCTTGTTAAACTTGTATGAAGTCAGTCGTTAACTAGTGACGTAACATTTATGTGGATAATAACTTGGCAGTACGTGTCAATCTGGACTCACATGAATATTAAAAATTAAAAGTTAGAAAAAAATTTAAATTAAAAAAAATAAACCTAAAGCCTAAATTTAACCCTCAGCCATCGCACAGTCTCCTTCTTCCTCCTCCGTCCTCGCCGACTTCCCCCCCCCCTCTCCTTGTTCCTTCACAGATGCCATCCTCGAAGTCGAACACGTATCGGGATATGCGAAGGAATGCGTCCACATCTAACACAATCATTAGAAAATCGATCATCCACGAGGGAATGTACAAGCTCGAGGGTTCAGATCGGAAGGATGAATCGGGAGGTTCTGGATCTGAGAAACAAGAGTTGGTTGAACGTGATGAAGATCCCGATCTCCACGCTCTTCAACGATGAGGGACTCCTTTGCGGCCATGTGTTCGCATCCTTAGCCTCGATCTTTCGACGAGTCTTTCTGAACCATGGACTCGAAATCGGAGAGCAGCGATAGCACCAACGCGCTGAGTTTGATGAGCGAGATGAGTGCTTGAGATCAGACGGCAGCGGTGGATTCGAAGCCGAAGATGGATTCGATCTCCGGCTAGTTCTCGGAGATGGCGCTGTACATATCGAGGAGGCTGAAAATGTTGAGAGACATTTAGGGTTTAGGTTTAATTTTTCATTTTTTTTATTTTTTTAATATAATTTTTTTATTTTTTTAATTTGCACGTGGGCCAGATTGACACATGTCGTCAATCATTATTCATATAGACGTCACATCATCAATTAACGGTTGACTTAAGTGCAACTTTAATGAATGTATGAAACTGTCCCAAAATTTTGATTTTAGATACCACTCTAGAATGAAAATAAGTTTATGTACCAAGTATTGAAAACTCAGAAACTTGAGTTTAGCTTTTTTGGAGGAATTGTAATTTGTAAGATATAAAGCACACTTAAGAGATTTTGTCAAAATTCTCTAACCCTAAAATTAAACCAATAGCTCTTTCAAAGTTAATTATGACTCTAAACCTTAAAATTAACTCCGAGAACTCTCTCAAGGTTAATTTTAGCGAGTATATATGACGAGGGGCTGGAAGAAGTGATTTGAACGGCGAGCGTCAAAGTTTTTTGATGAATAGTAAATTTTGGATTTTATGTGTTCGTTTTGGATCCATGATACCTTTTGGAAAGACAACAGCAAGACGAGTTTATCTCACTGATTTACTGTGATTTTTTTTTTACTGTGATATAAGACTCTTTTTGGCATTTTAACACCGTTTAAGGGGTTAAAACAACTTTTAAATTGTATTGTGTGTTTAGAGTAATTTTGTAATTTCCCCTTTGCAACTAGGGTTTTCTCCAAGACTTTATAATTGACTTTTAGGGTTGCATTGATTCAACTTTCCCCAAATTGTCGATTAAACTAGAGCTTTTCTCAATATCTGGATTTTGAGAATTATATCAAAGGGGAATCGTTCGTCAACTCTTAACCGGATACTTTTGTTGTGTCAATTGGTATAAGAGCCTCACGTCTTCGAAACTTGTTGCCGTGGAAGACCGTTTGAATGAAACCATACAGAATTCTGTTGGTGAACCCTTAACTAGATACTTAGAAAATAGTAGGCAAAAAATGGAACTGACTTGACTCCTCAAAAGGATGAGGAGGAATTCCCTCAAACACTTTGTGGCCAATCACATAAATTGATGCTCATAATCAGAACTGTTAATATTACAAATCACTATGTAAAGATTATTTCTCTAAAAAATAATAAAATATAAGATTGTTTTAGTCATTAAATTGTATAAAAATAAATGATCGGAATTAGTAAAAGTATATTACTAATGGTTTATCTATTTGCTATACTTGACTGAATAAACAAATTTAGCTTTAATTGATTTTTTGCATAAATGATCTTTACATAATAATTTATATAAATATGAACGATTTAGATCATAAACACGAATTCTTATAAATCAACCACAAAATATATGGAGGATGAATTTCTTAGATAAAAAGTTAGTCATGAACTTAACCTGGACCGTGAAGATTATAAACCAATTTTCAAGTTGAATTTGTACGGACGTCTAATTGCATGAGCAAATGCCTATCGGTAAATACATGCAAATATTCATAATAAAATACAAATGGTTTAATGGTGAGAGGAAATTAATTAGGAGCAAGAATTTCGGTACTTTTTTATTATTTAATTAAATAATAAGAAACACAATACTAATATATAAGGAGATAAAATGTGTGTACAAATATATAAGAAGATAAGTACAAATATATAAGATTTATCTTCTCCATTTGCTTTTCCCATCTAATTTCTTTACTCATCACTTGACACATGTATGCTACTAACAAATTAATAAATTACGTAATTTATGTTTTTAAGGTGGAAAAGTTACATAGTACTACGGTCTGAGAGGTCTTAGGTTCAATTTTCGTCAAATACGAATTTGAACCACATTATTGCTAGTCCATTGTGAGGCTAAGTCCACCCTCCCATTTAGTGTAAATAATATCTTTTGTTAAAAAAAATGGAAAAGTAAAATTTATGATTTTAATGCATTAGTTAGAGCAGCTCCAGCGGGAGCTCTTGCTCGGGGGACAGTGGGGTGAACAGGGCCAGAGAGCCCGACGGATTTGGTCCAGCGTGTGGTAGCCCGAGAGCCCAGAGTGGGTGTGACGTCAGGGCGACGTCAGCTGTTTTTTTAATTTTTTTTTCTGTCAGGCACGTGGGTTCGAGTCAGGAGACATAAATTCAGAAATAGGGCCCGCGGCCCACTCAAATTTCTTACCGTTGGGGAGGCCACGTGGCTTCCCCGTGTTCGTTGGATTTCAACGGCTATATTTTTATGGATTGTTTGATTTTCAAAGGTAAAAAAAAAAAATTAAAAACCTCATTTAATTTCAACTGTTGGATCTGAGATCAATGGTCTATGTTATTAGGCTATGTAAATTAAAAAAAAAGGAAAAAACAATTTAAAATTCTGAAATGTTACTGTTATGCCACGTGGCACAATCTGGAGTGTTGGAAATTCAAATTTTTTTAATCCAACGGCAGAGATTAATTAAGTGAATAAAAATTTAAAAAAAATGTAAAGAATTATTAAAAATCCAAAAAAAAAAAGAAAATTAAAAAAAAATTGATTTTACTTTTCTATAAATACCTTCTCATTATCTTCAAAATTACAAGTGGCGCAACAAGAACGATTAAAAATCTTACAAGTGGTGCAACAATTACTTTTCTATAAATAATTGTCTTTTCAGATTTTATGATAAGTGGCGCAATGAGAATGATTAAAAATCTTATCCGAAATTACAAATAAAATTATTTTGTATTATTTTATAACTTTTCAAATAATGACACGTGAAGCAACGAGAACAATTAAAAATCTTATCTGAAATTACAAATAAAATTATTTTGTATTATTTTATAAATAAAAAAATACTAATATTTTATTGCCTATTACCAGGGCTATTGAAGTGCAACGGTGGAGATACAAAAGGCCATTACTATTCATTAAGGGCAATTACTGTTCACTGGATGGATAACATAGTGTTTTGCCTGGGAGGATTCCCATGTTGGAACTGCTCTTATGTCGTTTAATTTGTTAATAAATACATGTATTAAGTAATGAATGAAAAAAGTAAATAGAAAAAGGCAAATGAAGAAAGTATCTAGCATTTCTCATTACCTTATTTGGATGGTCCCGATCAAAAATCTGAAGAAGTTATTTTTACATCTCACAAACAACATCAGGGCTCACCATCCAGAGAGAGAAAAAAAAAAAAAACCCTTAATTACACAGTTGGGTCATCAGCCACTTCAAAGCCCTAAAAACAAGTTGAAAATAAACAAACTAAAAAAAAAGGAGAAGACGAAGAAGAAGCAGCAGAGCAGCAGCAGGAAAAGTTCGAAATATTGGACTCATCTATCCATCTCAATTACTTCAGGGCATTCCATGATGCTCTCCAAAGAAGGCTTCCACCCCTCAATAGCTTTGGCTCTGCTTTTCTGGATCTCTTGCAAAACATCTTCCAAGTTCTTCCCTCCACTATCTTTCAGCTGAAGCATCAACCACTCCAGCTCTTCTTTGCTCAACACAATCTTTACTCTTATGTTTCCATCTTTCCCCAAATTTTGTTCCTTCACAAATCTATCTTTATTTTTTCTCTCATCGTCTTGTTGCTCATGCTGCTGCTGCTGTTGCATTTGACCATCTTCTTGCTCCTGCTTTTGTTTGCATGTCTCCACACAATTTCCCATGATTAACCACCTTAATTCCTCTATGAGAAATTATAAAACTCTTTTTTTTCTTTTTTTTTTTTTTGGTTTAAATCAAACCATGAAAAGCATTGGTTGGCAACAAAAGAACCACTATATATAGTTGGTGCATGCGAAAGGAGAACATGTATTTATATATATATATATATATAGGTGTGAAAATCCAATAATTAACAGTCAAATACAAAGAAAAAGATTATGTAGACTTGTTTTATTGTTCACGAGCCTTGATTCTTCTTCTTACTTTAAAATTTAAATAAGTGAGAAAATTATTTGCTCACTGCCCATGTCATGTAAATATTTGTCTGTTTGTGTGATATTTTAAGGGACCATAATGTACTGCTAAAGCTCTCACGAGTCGCTACTATTGTCCGGGATTGGGTGCTAATTGAGTACTATTGTCCGGGATCGGGATACGTTGGGAGCTAATTGAGTACTTCGGCTCAGGAGAATTAAGGATCATTTTGAAAAAAAAATCTTTAAAATGAGGGTGTAACTGAAAATTTCAAAAACCTTTTCAGTTATTTTATAATTTTCAAAAATTACTTAAATGAGGGGGAGAGTTTGAACCTACGATGTAATGAGTTGAAGATGAATACCCTAATCACTAAAGCAATCCACTACTTATAGTTTTATTTAAGATTCTAAAAGACGCTAGGCGCTAGTTAGGCGGCGGGTTAGGGCCTAGCGCCTAGGCGGCTAGATGGGAGCGTAGGTGGACTAGGCAAATTTAAGTAAATGATTGTTTATTGTATAAATAAGTGTCTATTTATACTTAAAACACACACATAATTATATTGAGATACATCTATTGCAAAATAAAATGATATATAAATTATAAAATATTAGAACATATTGGAAACATAGGGAACAAACATATAATGAGTGTTCATCCAAATATTCAACAAGTTTTTTACATTTTATTGAAAAATTAAAATGCAAAATGAAAGTTATTGATGTTCTATCTAAGTCAGGGTCGTGCCGTAGGCAAGTTTAGGCAGGCTAGACAAGCGCCTAAGCGGGCTAGAAGAACGCTTAAGCGTGTTTATGTGAATTTTCTTAATTTTCAAATGCCTAGAGATGAACGAATTGGGACGGTGGCCAACCGTCGCCTTTAGAATACTGGTTTTATTTTGAATTTGAATATTTACTGTGGTATGATAAGAAGCGGAATAACTTAATAATTTAAAAAAATTTTAATTGCGGAATCTATGCCGCTTCCAAATCTAAAAATTTTGAATTTCACGAGTTGCCGGACCTCCCCGCTCCAGTACCGTGTTTCAAAGATCATAACTGATGTCTTTGATTAAAAGCAATCAAAGAACATCATCATACGTCGGACCCAATTTTCTGATGATGATTGATTTGTTATTGTTAATTTTTTTTTTTCCCTTACTATGAAATAGTGGAATGTACTTGCAATCACCAAATAATTGGTCGAAAATTTTGAAAATTGTAGTATTGTAGACATCAAAATTTCGGTGAAATGAATGTTGACCAATAATTAAAATTTCAACACTCACGTATCACATAAATTTTACATGTAGCATGTGCTTCAACGAAAAATCGAAATAAATTGGAAAAGTCATCAAATATGACACGTGTCAATACCTGGCAGAAATGATTTATTTCATCTGATTATTTAAATCCAAAAATCAAGTTTTGGAATTCTATAAATAAGAGGCCAAAGGCATTCATTTTGGGGAAAGGAAGGAGAAGGAAGAAGGAAAAGAAGAAAAGAAGGAAGGAAGAAAGAAAGAAGCCTTGAAACTCTAAAGCTCTCAAGCAAATCCCGAAGGATCAAGAAAGCAATCTTCGTTCTTCGTCAAATCCACCTTCAAGATCAAGCCCCGACGGCCCTTGAAGAACTTCCACCAACTCAAGATCAAGCCCCGACGGCCCTTGAGGAAAGTGTTCATCGTTCATCATCCGTTCAATTCAAGATCAAGCCCTGACGGCCCTTGAAGAACTTCCACCAACTCAAGATCAAGCCCCGACGGCTCTTGAGGAAAGTGTTCATCGTTCACATCCGTTCATCCTTCAAGATTAAGCCCAGAAGCCCTTGAAGATCCGTTCATCCATCCACCTTCAAGATCAAGCCCCGACGGCCCTTGAAGAACTTCCACCAACTCAAGATCAAGCCCCGACGGCCCTTGAGGAAAGTGTTCATCGTTCATCATCCGTTCAATTCAAGATCAAGCCCCAACGGCCCCTTTGGATCAACAGCCTCAACAAATCCACACATCCGTTCATCCTTCAAGATTAAGCCCAGAAGCCCTTGAAGATCCGTTCATCCTAAGATCAAGCCCCAACGGCCCCTTTGGATCAACAACCTCAACAAATCCACACATTCGTTCATCCTTCAAGATTAAGCCTAAAAGCCCTTGAAGATCCGTTCATCCATCAACCTTCAAGATCAAGCCCAACGCCCCTTGAAGATCCATTCATCAGCTGTGCATCCTTAGATCAAGCCCCGACGGCCCTTTGGATCAACAACTCATCCACAAACCCACACCCTACGAAGATAGAATCAGAGGACCAAATTACAAAGAGATTGTAACCCCAAAATCATTAATACAAAATATTATTTTGTACACGTATTCTTGTCGCTTGTTTCAGGAATTTCTCGTGTTTACAAATTTGGCACGCCCAGTGGGACAATCTCTACCTCTCATCTCTATCCTCAAATCATCAAAAAACGCAAATGGCATCAAGAAAGGATCAAGCTGTTCCTGCAGTCAAAGCGAAGAACAAGAACATTATCGCCGCAACTGGTGATATTTCGGGCATCACAACCCGAAGTGAAGCAAGAGCTCTTTTTGCCGCGGCTTCCGCCCCTGCATTAACTCTGTCAAAGGAACAAGAGCACCTGAGGCACGATCCTGTGATCACCCTAGCCTCGCTAAGGGCATCAAGAGGGGAAAGCCTGAGGAAATACTCAGAGTCCCTACCCTCCGACGCTGATTCGAGCGGCGGTACAACCATGCAAGTCATGACCACTGGAGCAACTTCAATCGAGGAGCAACTAGCTCAGATGAATGAAGCAATCACAAAGCTCACACGGACTGCAGAGGAGAAAAACTTGCAAACCGCCGGACTCATCAACCGTCTGGAGGCACAGCATGGCGTCAAAATGAAACCAAGCTCTCTTCCAACTAAGAAGACCGAAGAAGGCTTTAACCCAAATGCCTACGAACCCATGTCAAAGGCTAGGCATGACTTTGCTTCCTCTTCAAATCTTGGAAAGAAGGTTTCAAACACCGTCGATGACAAAGAACTTAACCTCACCAAAACTCAAAAGAAGTTGAAGGAGCATGGTTACGGAGTTGACAACAACAAAGCCGGACTTGGCTTCACACCAAATGCACCCGTGAAGATTTCAAGCAAAGTGAAGAAAGCTAGCGCTCAACACATCAGCGTGAGCATTGAACAAGACCAAAAGGAGCCTAAACCCGCCCCTCGGCCGTCGGTCTTCGATAGGATGAGCCATTCAAGCTCCAGAATTTCAGCGCTTAATCGCATTGGTAGTCAAGGCCGAACCTCTGTCTTCAAGAGGCTTAGCGTGCCAACATCCCAAAGCTCTGTTTTTGAAAGGTTGTTAAAGCCTAAGAAACAAAGCAACACAGCTATCTCTCCTCTGCGACCATCAGCTTCGGAAAGATTTGAAGATAATGAGAAGCCTTTTGGAAAGAGGAAGACAACACCAAAGGAAGAAAAGTTCGATGGGTTAGCAGAAAAAGGCGACGTTCAAAGCTTGATTCCTTCAAGGATGAAGCGCCAAGCAATCCTAGAGGTCGACACAAAAGGACCACTGAAGGTAAGGAGGCGCATCGTCGTCCACACTGGCAAATCTTCATGCCAACAAACCCAAGAGGACGGCACTGAAGATGAAATCCCTAAGAAAGATGTCACTTCTGGCTCTTTCGACTCAAAGTCTTCACCTCGACTGTTGGGGGCATGCTCCAAGTCAAGTGAAATTGAAGGATGGACTCATGTCGCTTCGAAGAAATTGCACGAGAAACATATGTCTTCTTCACAAGTGCACCAATCAGAAAGGGGGGAAAGCAGCTTTCGCCAACCTCCAAAGCAATGTGAAAATGTTGAAGATAAGAAAATTTCAACACAAAGATCGTTCATGCGGGATCTTTTCTTCCTCGAAGACTTATTCAATTTCTCGATCAAGACTCCTTGCTATGAAGATTGTGAGGAATGTCTTTCGAAGATCGCTGCGAAGAAATTGGACAAGCAGCAACCATCTTGTCCACAAGTTTATCAATCGAAAAGGGGGCAAAACAGCTCTTGTCAACCTCCAGAACAATGTGAAAGTGTTGGAGATAATGAAATTTCGACACAAAGATCGTCCATCCCCATCACAATGTGCGACCTCTTCCCAGAAGACTTCTTCAGTTACTCGGTCAAGGCTCCTTCCTATGAAGATTGCGAGGAACGCCTCTCCCAGATCGCTTGACAAATCCACAACAACAACCAAAGCTCCTCGTTCGCACGAGCCTAAAAGGTGACAAAGAAAAGCTCCTTGTCCGCACGAGCATAAAAGGCGACAACAAACGCTCCTTGCCTGCATGAGCTAAAAATGCAAACGGCACCAAGACGCTCCTGGCCCGCAAGAGCATAAACTGTGTACGGCAAAATCATCATCAAAACCATCACTCATTTGAACTACGTTACGACTTGATCTCTTCTCTGGAAGAGTACGTAGGCAACTTGAAACTTCAAAACTTCAAGTACAGTCACATCAAAATAAATAAATAAATGTTTCATTAAAGAAAGTCAATTTTATTACAAAAGAAAAGAAAAAAATACATATGTTACTATGTATTAGAAATATTTATATATTCTCTACTCAAAAAAAAAAAAAAAAAAAAAATTATACATGTTAGAGGGAGTCTTTCTACACTTAAGACTTGTGCCAAATCAAAAGAAAACAGAAATTGAGACCCACAAAAAGAGGAATCCAAATGCCAGGCCCATCTTTTCTCAAACACACAATTGTTTTGAGCTTGCTATGCAAGGAGCTCTGCTTCTTCTCCCGCCAGGCATGGGCCCGGCTCTCAAAGCCCAATCTGCGTGTGCTCCTTCATCCGTCCCTTCAATTTGCAGTTCTCCATAA